GTTTAGTCCTGTTTAGTCCTGGTTCAGTCCTGGTTTCAGTCCTGGTTTAGTCCTGTTCAGTCCTGGTTCAGTCCTGGTTTAGTTTAGTCCTGGTTCAGTCCTGGTTCAGTCCTGGTTCAGTCCTGGTTCAGTCCTGGTTTAGTCCTGGTTCAGTCCTGGTTCTGGTTAGTCCTGGTTCAGTCCTGGTTAGTCCTGGTTTAGTCCTGGTTTAGTCCTGGTTCAGTCCTGGTTCAGTCCTGGGTCCTGGTTTAGTCCTGGTTAGTCCTGGTTCAGTCCTGGTTTCCTGGTTTAGTCCTGGTTCAGTCCCTGGTTTAGTCCTTTAGTCCTGGTTCAGTCCTGGTTCAGTCCTGGTTTAGTCTGGTTAGTCTGTCCTGTTCAGTCCTGGTCTAGTCCCTCACTCTGGTCTTGTCGTGTCCTCAGGGTGACAGAGGGGGCGTTGCAGCCGCTCAGGACGGAGCTGTCGGAGCTGGAGACTCTGATCGAGGAGCAGAAGGCTCAGACCTGCGCCCTCAAGTGCTCCGTGCTCAGGAACGAAGAGAAGATCCACAAGATGCTCACAGGGCTCCACCACCAGACCTGAGGAACCTCCACCAACATCTCCACCACCAGACCTGAGGAACCTCCACCAACATCTCCACCACCAGACCTGAGGAACCTCCACCAACATCTCCACCACCAGACCTGAGGAACCTCCACCAACATCTCCACCACCAGACCTGAGGAACCTCCACCAACATCTCCACCACCAGACCTGAGGAACCTCCACCAACATCTCCACCACCAGACCTGAGGAACCTCCACCAACATCTCCACCACCAGACCTGAGGAACCTCCACCAACATCTCCACCACCAGACCTGAGGAACCTCCACCAACATCTCCACCACCAGACCTGAGGAACCTCCACCAACATCTCCACCACCAGACCTGAGGAACCTCCACCAACATCTCCACCACCAGACCTGAGGAACCTCCACCAACATCTCCACCACCAGACCTGAGGAACCTCCACCAACATCTCCACCACCAGACCTGAGGAACCTCCACCAACATCTCCACCACCAGACCTGAACCTCCACACATCTCCAAACCCAAAATGTTCATTTTGTCTTCTTTTGTACTTTAACTTCCACTGGGAGATGTATTTACCTTGTCGAGATGTTTGGCTGACTCTGGTTGACCTGAGGGACCTGAGGGACCTGGTGGGTCTTTGGACGCTCCATCATCAGGGTTGTTGATGGAGTTCGTGCCTCGTTTCCTGATTTCAGACGCCTTCCTGATCCAGCGTTTGGAGACAAACGAGTATAAAGAGAAACTAAACCGACTCTGTTCTGCAGGAGGAACAGAGGAACAGAGGAACAGAGAACATTAGAACATTAGAACATTAGAACAAGACTTAAAGCTCACAATAAAATAAAACTGCTTTATAATCAGATGTTTATACAAGAGACCAGGACTAAACCAGGACTAAACCAGGACTAGACTGAACCAGGACTGAACCAGGACTGAACCAGGACTAAACCAGGACTGAACCAGGACTGAACCAGAACTAAACCAGGACTGAACCAGGACTAAACCAGGACTGAACCAGAACTAACCAGGACTGAACCAGGACCAGAACTAAACCAGGACTGAACCAAACTAAACCAGGACTGAACCAGGACTAAACCAGGACTGAACCAGGACTAAACCAGAACTAACAACCAGGACTGAACAGAACTAAACCAGGACTAAACCAGGACTGAACCAGACTAAACCAGAACTAAACCAGGACTGAAACAGAACTAAACCAGAACTAAACCAGGACTGAACCAGGACTAAACCAGGACTGAACCAGGACTGAACCAGAACTAAACCAGGACTGAACCAGGACTGAACCAGAACTAAACCAGGACTGAACCAGGACTAAACCAGGACTGAACCAGGACTGAACCAGAACTAAACCAGGACTGAACCAGGACTAAACCAGGACTAAACCAGGACTGAAACAGAACTAAACCAGGACTGAACCAGAACTAAACCAGGACTGAACCAGGACTGAACCAGACTAAACAGAACTAAACCAGACTAACCAGGACTAAACCAGGACTAAACCAGGACTGAAACCAGAACTAAACCAGGACTGAACCAGGACTGAACCAGAACTAAACCAGGACTGAACCAACTAAACCAGGACTGAACCAGAACTAAACCAGGACTGAACCAGGAACTAAACCAGGACTGAACAGGACTAAACAGGACTAAACCAGGACTGAACCAGGACTAAACCAGACTAAACCACGACTGAACCAGGACTAACCAGGACTGAACCAGGACTGAAACCAGAACTAACCAGGACTAAACTAAACCAGAACTAAACCAGGACTGAACCAGGACTGAACCAGAACTAAACCAGGACTGAACCAGAACTAAACAGGACTGAACCAGGACTGGAACTAAACCAGGACTGAACCAGGACTAAACCAGGACTAAACCAGGACTGAAACAGAACTAAACCAGGA